TGGTCACTTTGCTAGAGATTGTTGGTCAAACAAGGAGAGAAAATCAGAAGAAGCAAATATAGCCAGAAGTTCTGATGACGAATCTGTGCTATTGATGGGCTCTGAATCTGATGATATGGATCTGATAGACTGGTGGTATATGGACACTGGTTGTTCAAATCATCTTACTGGAAACAAGAAATGGTTGGTTGACTTTGACTCTAAAAAGAGAACAAAGATCAGATGTGCTGATGACAAATATCTTAACGCAGAAGGTATGGGAAATGTCAGAGTGATTCTGAACAATGGGAAAACAGCATTGATTCAGAACGTGTGGTATGTACCTGGCATCAGAAGCAATCTGATGAGTGTGGGATAATTAATTGAGAAAGTTTTTTCAATTATCATGAAGGACAATCTTTTGAAGCTGTATGACTGCAATCAGAAGTTGATTATAGAGTCAGAGCATGGAAGGAATAGGACATTCAAGGTGAATGTCAGAACTGCAGACTCAGAATGTCTTAGTGCAACAAGTGCTGAGAACGAGAGTGAGCTGTGGCACAGAAGATTCGGTCATTTGAATTTCAGAAGCTTAAAACATCTGAATTCAAAGAAGTTGGTACATGGAATTTCTGCAATTAAGAAGCCTGAAAAGTCATGCAAAGTTTGCATGGAAGGAAAACAACCACGATTTCCATTTGCGTCAGAAGCTGCTCCAAGAGCAAAACATGCCTTGGGAGTTGTACATTCTGATGTGTGTGGTCCATTTCCAGTAGCATCGATTGGAGGGAATAAATACTTTGTGTTGTTTGTTGATGAATTCATAAGAATGACATGGGTATCCCTTATTAAGTTTAAACACGAGGTGTTTGATGAATTCAAGAAGTTCAGAATGAAGGCTGAGAATCATAGTGGTCAGAAGTTGAAGATTCTTAGAACTGACGGTGGAGGTGAGTATAACTCCAAAGAGTTCCAGAAGTTCTGTGAGGAGAATGGAATTGAGCATGAGGTTACTGCTCCTTATACTCCTCAACACAATGGTCTTGCTGAAAGAAGAAACTGCACTTTGCTTGATATGGTGAGAAGCATGCTAAAAGAGAAGAAGCTTCCTCAGAAGTTGTTGCCACTGCAACGTATGTACTCGATCGATGTCTTACGAAGAAGTTGAAGGAAGTAGTTCCAATACAAAAGTGAACTGGAGATAAGCAAAGTGTTAGTCATCTGAAGGTGTTTGGTTCTGTTTGCTATAAACATGTTCCAGAAGCCAGAAGACAGAAGCTGGATGATATAAGCAAAGTGATGATTCTGGTAGGGTACCACAATACAGGTGCATACAAGCTCTATTGTCCAGAAACCAATAAAATTGAATTCAGCAGAGATGTGATTGTGAAGGAATCAGAAGTTTGGAATTGGGATAAGTCTCAATCTGATTCTAATGTTAGAACTTCTGAAGAAAGGTCAGAGTTAAGAATTTCTGAAGTTGGAGTAAACTCTGACGTTGACTCTGACTCTGATAGTGATTCAGACTCTGGAGAAGACTCGGAAGATGAAGGTGACTCTGATGATCCAGACTCTGATGGCAATCCAGATTCTGGTGGCAATTCAGACTCTGGAAATATGCCAGACTCTGAAGATGGTCAAAGCTCTGGAGGAAGTCAATCATCTGAAGCTAGAAACTCTGAAGCTCAAGACTCTGGACAAGTTCAGAGACCACAAAGAATAAGAAACTTCCCCAGAAGATATGCATAATTTGACATGCTGCAAGACACTGAAGTAGACTCTGAAGGAGAAGTTATTCAGTGTGTCATGATAGTAGACTCTGAACCCATAAGTACAGAAGAGGCTCTTAAGCAGAAGCTCTGGCTGAAGGCCATGAAAGAAGAACTTGATGCTATAGAGAGAAACAAGACTTGGAAGCTAACAGAACTTCCAAAAGACAAGAAAGCCATCAGCGTCAGATGGATTTTCAAGCAGAAGTTAAAGCCAGATGGTTCAATTGACAAACATAAAGCAAGGTTAGTAGCCATAGGATTTCTACAAAAACCTGGGCTGGATTATTCTGAAGTGTTTGCACCTGTAGCAAGACATGAAACAATCAGAATGGTGATTACAATAGCTGCTAACAGGAATTGGCCTCTGATGCATTTAGATGTAAAATCTGCATTTCTGAACGGTCCATTAGAAGAAGAAGTTTACGTGTCACAACCTCCTGAATTTGTGAAAAAAAATTATGAAGGGATGGTGTACAGATTATACAAAGCTTTATATGGACTGAAACAAGCGCCCAGAGCTTGGAATCAGAAGATTGATTCATTTTTCAAGAAGCAAGGCTTTCAAAAATGTGAGGTGGAGTACGGTGTTTATGTTTAGCATACTTCTAAAGGCAATATGACTCTGGTGTGTTTATATGTTGATGACATACTGCTGACTGGAAGTTCTGAACAGGAGATAGCCAAGTTTAAGAAAGTTCTGATGAATGAATTCGAAATGACTGATCTAGGCAAAATGACATACTTTCTAGCGATGGAGTTCAGATATTCTGAGAAAGGTATCATTTTGTATCAGCTCAAGTATGAATTAGAACTTCTGAAGAAATTTGAACTGAAGAATTGTAAGATTGTTGTCACACCTTCTGATACAAATCAGAAACTGAATTCTGACTCTGATGGAAAGGATGTGGACGCTACAACCTTCAAACAGTTGGTTGGTTCTCTGAGGTATCTGTGCAATACCAGACCTGATATTTGCTATTCTGTTGGGATGGTTAGTAGGTTCATGAGTAAACCTAAGTGGTCCCATTACCAAGCTCCTGTCAGGATTCTGAGGTATATCAAGGGAACTCTGAAGTATGGAGTGTTATTTTCTTCTGGAAGAAAGAATGAGTCAGAACTTTTGAGTTATCCAGATTCTGATTGGTGTGGAAACAGAGTTGACAGAAGAAGTACCTCTGGATACTTGTTCAAATTTCTGGGAGGTCCCATTTCTTGGTGTTCCAAGAAGCAACCTGTTGTGGCGTTATCAACCTGTGAAGCTGAATACATTGCAGGTGCTGTTACTGCATGCCAAACTGTGTGGATTATGAATCTGTTGCAGGATTTGAAGATTAAAATAAACAAACCTCTGAAGTTGATGATTGACAACAAGTATGCAATCAATCTTGCCAAAAACCCAGTGTTGCATAGGAGAAGCAAGCATATTGAGACCAAGTATCATTTTCTGAGACATCAAGTTTAGAATGGAGTGTTAAAAGTAGTACACTGCAGCACTCAGAAACAGTTGGCAAATGCTCAGACGAAAGCTATCAAGACTGATCAATTTCTCAGACTAAGGGATGGAATTGGTGTTACAAGTTTTGATAGAATATTAATTAAGAGACGGTATTAGAAGTAATTCATATTTAGTTGTACTATTACTTAGCCCCTAAGTTTGTTAGAGGGTATTTTAGTATTTTATCTTATTCTAGTAACCCTAGTTTTAGCTTATAAATAGGGTTGCAATCATTGTAATGTTTAAGTGAGTTGTGTAGCCGTCATTCTCTTTAATAGAATATTTCCTCTGTTCATCATTTATTCACCTTTGCACCAACACAATCTATTAACATTTCTGTATGGAAAAATTTAAAGAGAAAAATAATGTCAATTTTCTATGAAGAATTCATTTTACCAACATTTTCACTACAACACTAAAATTACCTACCTTCTTTTGAATGTTATACAAAAACACAAACCCAATCTATTACAGCATCACAATATCACTGATAAAATCAAAAACCTTTGATTCAAACACAACCAACAATATAAAAGCAGAAATTGAATCGAACAAGATAATCGAAGCAATCAGACCACCACTGCAGATCTGTTTCCGTTCGTCCGCTCAAACTGCCGTAGCAGCCGCCTCACATCGGAACGGTCCCGTGCCAAATCCTCCCTCTGTCCACCATTTCGATCATCACCCACAGTATGTTCTTTTTCGTGCTTTTATGATATCTATGTGTTAAATTGATTTGAAATGAGTCTTGTAATTTGTTGTTGTTGTTGCAGAATTCACAAAGAAAAACCAAAAAATGAAGATTCTAGGAGTTTGAGCAAGAGTGAAAGGAAGTGGGGGAGGGGGAGAGAATGTTGTTCTATATATTATAAAAATAAAATATATCTAAAATAATATTTAATAAATTAAAATAATTTCATGTCAAATCAAATAATTCAAATTAAAATAGTTATATTAATAATTGAAGAAACCAAATAATATGTCATGTCATAATGTAAAATTACTGCACAACTGCCACTTAGGCAACTTTTAACATTTTTCTATAAAATCTAACAATAGTGCTGAGGGACTAGAGCGTAACGTCTTTTTCAATTAAAAAACTAAATTTTAAGGACAAAAAGATAACTAAAGTCTAATTTTATATGGCATCCTAAAATTTACCTATAAGATTTTGGTCCTCTCTAAATCCTACTCTTATTTCACCAGCAGTGGGGAAGCTTCTCACAACAACTACGATTAACTATCTAACAATATTCAAAACCTTCTGCCACTTAACAAGATACTACCGGTATATTCTAATTAAATAATTAATACTAGAATATTTAATTTATCCATTTCATTCACAAATATCCTAAAATATTACCTCTTACTTCTCGACTCTCATAACACTTTATACTAGTAGTATTTAGGAACAAACTTGTTCCAAAACAGACTTATATTTAGACATATAAAATAGTATAGAGAGAGTTACCAAACAAATTTATTTCATGACTTCATTCACACTATCTTATATTTTAGACATACAAATAGTATATAGAGAGCTACCAAACTTAGTTTCATGACTTCATTCACAGAGTACTAGAAAGAAGTTATCAACAAGCTGAAAACAAAGTATTTTAGGATTTGTTTGTAGGGAAAGACTAATGAAAGTTTAATAAAATTAAACGGCAGGGCTGTCCAAAGTAAACTCATTCGCCAACAGGAATGGCAGGACAGTAAATTTACATAGTCTACTGACGTACACCATTACTATCCTATGCTACCAGGAATGGCAGGACAGTCAGCATAAACGCCTCATAGGAAAATGTTGCAGAGCCAGTATACCCAGTATCCTTCTCCTTGAATTTGTCAGTTAGTCCCTGCAACATACAATCAGAAGTGAATTGGTCAGTTATTCCCTAAAATAAAACAACTTATGGTTCATACTAGAAAACAAAACCAGGTTTAGTATTGTTTCATGTATCAAATTAATAGCATAAGAAATTTTACAAAAAGGAATGTGTGTTTTTGCAATAATCTTGTAGAGCTAGCTACCAAGAAACAACATTATGCAGACATGAAACTATAGGAACTTGGAAATGGAAAATAATTAATGACACTATGGCCGCTAATGATAAAGCTATCCATAAGACATCAAATATTATCATTGTCCCCGAAAAACTGTTAAATTTCAACACTGAAGTTTTTATAACAAACTAGCAGCCAACATTTACAAGGTTGTGTATATTGTGGAGTTTGTGTACATATATATGAATGGTGTGTTAACAAAGCTCTGATACCCTCCTTATACTTTTCATTTTAATAAGAATAGTAAGATGTAATTTGACTTGCAAAAACAGGTGAAATTATAAAAGAGTATTTTGATAGCTTACCTTTACAGTGAGACAGCACCTGCAATAGCAAACAAAGGAAAATAATTAACTTATCAATCCATTTTACACCAAAAAACACAGTATAAACATAAAACGAAGTTCTCCTATACAAGAAAATTTCAATTTAATAGAAAGTTTTTCTATATTAAATAACCAAATTTGACTCCAAACTATAATACTTGGACTGGGATAACTTTAATTAGGAGCTAGAAGAGGACGACCCATTATCAATCGGCCCAAAAGCGTCATAAAGGGCAAGGGCCACAGGAAAAATCAGGCCGGCTTGACCTAGTAGGTCATGAGTTGCCTGATCCGACCCATCAGGCCAAGGGCATGGGTCGCCCGGCCCTAACTCGTGTCTATCAAGTGACGACCGCATTAGTATGTGTCAGACCACTGGTCTTCGTATTCCCACGCTCTAGTCAAGCAGTTGGGATAATACCAGTTCTGCACTCAACAAGCATTCATCCCGCGGACAGGATAACCCTTATTGTATTCTCCGCAAGTACAATACATAAACACAAATCAACAAATAACACAATAAAATTTTAAAGTGGCAGGGGGATCAAATGGCATTATTTTGACTATTGCTTTCCAACTGGCTGTTTTTGTATTAATTGCTTCTTCATCCATTTTCATTGAAAGTACGAATGTTTAAGGCTTTATACTTCTCTTTTTAGTCAAAATAAAGTAGCATACTGTACACTGGAAAGGAAGACGCCTAGCCAAAATCTTTTTTAAGTATATAAGAATATAAGTAAATTCAATAAAAGAAAAAGAGTTGCAGCAAAGCCATACTCAATGAAATTGTCATATTCAACAGCCTTGTTTTTGCCACCAGTTTTGTCAAACTTGGAGACAAGCAAGTCCAATACCGTAGGAGAAACAGCATAACCCAAACTTAACAGTGCATCTCGCAGCTCATTTGAATCTATTTTACCACTCCTGTCCTTATCAAATCTTTCAAATATACCCTGTAACAACAACCACATGGTTAGGAGAAGCTGATTATATACAGTATAAATTTGTCTATGCCTATGTTTGGTTAATAATTTTGAAATAATTTGATTTTGTAGAACTGATTTAGTATTTTCACTAAACCTAAGTTTGAATGGAAGTAATTTATGTTGGTAAGCTTCCCCTCTAACGAAAAGTTTGATGTAAAACTCTATCAAATTTTCAACCTCACCCATAAGTTACCATCATATCAATTTTGATTCAAAATAACCTAACTTGATGTTTACTAAAATCAAGTTTGACAAGAAGGAAAAATCAATTTTAATCCTCTACAGTGTAAATCCAAATCCAAACACTTACTAAGTTAGAGTTAAGATTAACTACGTGAAAACTTGGAATAAAAAAAAGAGAAAATACCCTCCAGCTCTGAAGGCTGTAAAACAGAGAAGTGAACTCCTTGGGTCCTGCATTACCAAGTCCAAAATTCAAACAGTGAGGATGGCAAAAAATCAGATAACAATCAATGATTGAAACACATTAGATTATAGGAAGCAAAATAAGTTGATTAAAGAAAAAAACAATAGTAGTGAGATCAGGGCCTAGTAGTGAGATCAGGGCCGTCTTTGAGGATGTTCAAGGTGAGACACCGTAGAGCAAAGCTGTCTTTGAGGGCGTGCAAGACGGGTTACCGCACAAGACCTCAAAATTTTCAAGGTTAAATTATAGCTAAATGGGGCCTCTTAAAATCTTTGTCATGTTAAATTGTGATTAAATAGAGCTTATATTTGTTCTGCCTTTACAAAACTGTGACTAACATACACAGGGCTTCCAAAAACTTGAGACGGCTCTGCCGCAGAAAGGCTCCAAATTTGCCACAATTAACTTAGCTAAATAGGGTCTCATAATAGATTTGACAGAGCTAAACAATGAATAAATATGACCCCTAGTTATTTGGTTCCAGGCTTACAGTTGAACCATGACTAACCTATACAGGTCTCCAAACACATTAAGGGCCTTGAGTGAGATGTTATAACAAATATAAAGATTGAATCTAACTTCTTCAAAAGTACAACTTGGACGTCTTACTATTGCAGATGTGCCATTACCTTATAGATTTCACATACTACATCTCAAGCACTCGAATGAACAGAAAATAATATCAACTATGAATAGTTAGTGAATGTGTTTTTCCTTTGGTAAAGGTTTGTTACCGAATAATAATGCCAACTATGAGTAGTTACTGAATGGTTGGTTACAATTGATTTTGACAATATAACTTATAATTTGAGACAGGGAGTAGTTCTATTTGGACGCTTTTAGTAAAAGTAAGAGTATGGTGTAACACAGAAAAACATAATTATGATTAAAAGTTATAAAAATTATGACTAGAATCATACATACTTAATCATGGTTAACCATGTCTATAATAATTACTCTAATTCGATGAATAAACACGCGATATTTGTTTTTGTATTTATTTAACATGTGGATTTAGTTTACATGACTCATTTTATAAATCTTAATATAATTAGATAAAAAGTTAAATATGTTTATTTTTAGTTCCTCCAAATATTTATTTTAAAGAATGATTTTCCTAAAAAAAATTTTATCCTTAGTTTTGATCCCTAATAATAAAATGATCGCTAAAATTTAAAAAATGGTTCTCCTAAAAAAAATTTATCCATAGTTTTCCCTACTAATAAAACCATCAAAATAATTACTCTAATTCGATGAAGAATAAACACGCGATATTTGTTTTTGTATTTATTTAACATGTGGATTTAGTTTACATGACTCATTTTATAAATCTTAATATAATTAGATAGAAAGTTAAATATGTTCATTTTTAGTCCCTCCAAATATTTATTTTAAAGAATGATTCCTCTAAAAAAAATTTTATCCTTAGTTTTGATCCCTAATAATAAAATGGTCGCTAAAATTTAAAAAATGGTTCTCCTAAAAATTTTTTATCCATAGTTTTCCCTACTAATAAAACTATCAAAATTTAGATTTGGTTAAAAAAAATCACACCTTAGAAACCACACGTGGAATAAAAATTATAAAAAGAAAAAGCCGCCGAATCCAAGACAAGTAGTAGATATTCCGCCCACAGTTTGCAATAACGCGCTTTTCTAATTTCCCTTTTCTTTTCAGAACATGTAAACCAAGTCGCATCGCATGCAACTAGTGGATTAAATTAGTAATTAATTAATTAACTCGGTGCCAAGTGTCAACTACTTAATTAATTTAAGAATTTATAAGTAGTTGAAATAAACAAGTAGTACAAAATTTATGGCTTAAAATATCGTGAAACGGCCCTCAGCCAGCGCATTTTATCACCGAGCGCCGATAAACCAGAACGAGTTAGCAGAAAACCTAATTTTACCAAATCGGAAATTTGAATCAAATGGAAATGAAGTAGAAGACGTTCGTACCTATCTTCTTAACACTGGTGTTGGTGAAGTGATACATGAGGAGGTGCACAGTTCTCAAGCTGAAGCTCTGGTTGTAAGAAGACAGAGCCCTCTGCAATTCCTTGTCATCGATCAAACCGCTTCCATCCTGATCCGCCACCTGGAAGCACGCCACGATGCTAGGATCAGTTCCAGGAGGGAATGTCGATGGCAGCAGTGCCGCGAACGGGCTCCCATGTGCCGGCGGAGGGTATGCACCGCCGCCGCTGGAGTGTGATTCTTCTTTTGGGGGTTTCTGATGAGGAGCGGCGTACGGAGCCGACGGCTGTCCGTAGGGGCTGGCGGAGTATGACTGACCGAGTGGAGGAGCGCCGTACTGAGATGGCGGCGGTGCGCCATAGGACTGGGATGGCGGCGGTGCGCCGTAGGACTGGGATGGAGGCGGTGCGCCGTAGGACTGGGATGGCGGCGGTGCGCCGTAGCCGTAACCATAATTGAGAGACTGATTTGGGTAACCGGACATCTTGAAAGGGGAGAGGGTTTTTCCTAACAGAAAAAATAATAAGTAGAGTAGAGACACCTAGGAGAGGGTTAGGTTGAGGTCTAAATTTATATGAATAAAATAAGCAGCATAAATGTAATTATTTTGAAAGATGCATGAAACTTTTTTTTTAGATTTCTTCTTTACCTAAATAACCCTTTTCCAGTAAATTCTAGTAAAATACTTTTTTCCATATTATATCACATTGCCAACTTTTTTAACTTCTTTTTTATAAATACAATTGCAATATTTTTTTAGTTGCATAAAACAAAAACGCCAATTGTTTTGAATGCCTCCGCACGTTTTTTATATTAAAAGTTATTATATTATTTTATATATTAAAAAAGTAAAATAAGTTGTGAACTGGTCAATAGTTAAATAAAATAAATACTTATTTATGATTTTAAATAATGAGTGTTATATATATATATATATATATATATATATATATATATATATATATATATATATATATATATATATATTCTTACTCCAAGTAAATTATAATTTATTCTATATTTTGACCATTTTTAATTGATTATTAATATTAATCAATAATTAAATATGGAAAGAAAAAAATAAATTGGTCACATAATAATAAATAACTGATTATTTTTATAATTTATTTTTGGAGTAAGAATAAGTATTTTGTGTGTGAGTGTGCCCGCGCGCGCATGTGTGCGTGCGCGTGCGTGAGTGTGTGTATGCGCGTGCGTGTGTGTGAGACTTACGATATACACTTTTTTTGTTTTATTCTCAATTATTTACTAGGATGTTAGAGTGTTAATGTTTCATATTCACTCTAGTGTAATTGTTATGGAGATTTATCCTATCATATCAAAAGTCTACTACTTCAACTCAATCAAAATTTTCATTTCAAGGCTAAACAATGACACTGTTTGTACGATGGATAATTTTCATCGTCCACATCAATCAAAAGTCCATATAGCTTAAGTAATACGCTACAATGGATAAAGTACATCACTTCAATTCAATCAAAATTCCACATCGCTTGAGTAATACGCTACAATGGATAAAGTGCATCGCTTCAATTCAATCAAAAGTCCACATCGCTTAGAGCATCTCCAGCAGTAGATTTTTCTACCTAGATCGCCAACATGTAATCCATTTTTCTTACAAATTGTCATTGGATTTGAAGAATAGTTCTCCAAATGAAAACACCTTTGCATTATGAAGCAACAAACTAGTGTCTGAAGCAACGTACGACAATTAAATATAATAGAAATAATGTATTAAAATAATAATAAATATAAATTATAGATTGTTTAGAGTTTAAATGAAATTTAATGGAAATAAAATATTAATATATGAGTTAAAGTTGTGGGACCCAAAATAGTGTTGCATCATTGGAGTTAAAATTAGATGAATTGCAACAAAATGATGTGGCTTAATAGATCCTACAAAGAACCCGAAAAATCAGTTGCACCATTGGAGATGCTCTTAAGTAATACGCTATAATGTGTCGCAACTGCGAAAAATACCCGGCGGAAAACAGAAGAGTCGCCACCTTTCGTTATTTATCCCAAAGAGAGGGAAAGGAAACGATCAGAAAAACCTGACGAAAAGGGAAAGACAAGGTCATCGCAACCAGGTTTGGATTCGGGAGTCGATTACGCAAGGGGAAGGTATGAGCACCCCTCACGTCTGTCGTACTCGACGGGATCCACGCTTGGGTTGTCTAATCTATGGGTGAAAAACAATTTATCTACGGCTGCTAAAGCTCAACGGAAAGAACCGACTCGGTAGAGCATCGCCGCTCTATGCCTACGTATTCCCTCGTGCAATGGGAAAGTCAGAGTCAACGTAGTTCGGGAAACTACGGGGGAATTGCTCGCCAAGACGTCGCGTCTTGTGCCTACGTATTCTCATCTGGCATGAGAAATCAGAGCAAAATGTAGTTCAGGCTAACTACGGGACGAACGGGTGTTCTCGATCACACGGGGGTGAGAGAAAAGTTTGACAATACTAGCGTACGCATTCTAGCAGTTAGGTGTATTGTTGCTCGACCATTGGAGACTTAGGCGTTACCTGTTTGCGGTAGAACGGATGTAGTATGTCATTGGTTTAAAGGTACGGGGACCTACGGGAACTAGAACTACGGTCTGGTCTCAATTGCGCTAGGGCAAGAGAAAGGGAAGATTAGTCGTTGGCCAAAGAACCATAACATCCGCCGCCGCCGACCTCATATTCCCCTCCGTCTCTTCGAAACTTCTTCCCACCAAACCTCCTCCAATCAAATTTCTCTTCTTCTCTGCTTAGTCTCATTTTCTTCAACATCAACGCCACTCAAGCAAATAAAAAACTGTAAAAATCACACCAATCCAAATGTGTGGTCCAAGTTCTGTTGAGTGCTGAGAAAATATGTGTGAGTTGAAGGTTCGTTCATGGCGGAAGTTGAAGAATATGGAGGTGGTGAGTCTGATGGTTTGCATGTTGAGTGTTGATGGGAGAGGATGCGAAGGAGATTAGCCGAATGTTGCTGGTTTTCTGGAAAATAGGTTTCGCACAGTTAGCCGGTGAAGATGTATGTTTAACGAATCTGGTTCGTGTGAGATTGAAGAATAGGAGTGGGAGTTTTAGAGATTATGGTTTTTGTTATAGATATGGATTCAATATTGTTGTTTCATGAAAATCTGGATAGATTAGGGGTTGAACAATGGAGACAAAAGGTTGTTTTGGTTGAACCTGGCGATATCTGGTGAGTAGTGATGGAATGATGAAAGTTTGTTCATGAACTTGAAGATTTGAAGTGAAGATCTACCGATGAAGATAAGGATTCGTGTGGTGTTGATGTGAAAGTTTGAAGGTTGAGTTAATGGTGAATGTTGAGAAGAAATCTGGAAAAATTGATGAACGTTGATGAAGATAATGAAGATTTGTATATGGATGATGAAGATCTGGGAAATTATATGAAGATGATGAAGAACAAACGAATGTTTGTTCATGGTGATGAATTTCCGGAAGAAAAAAAACAATGGATGAAGGTATTCATGAAAATTGTTTGAATGTTTGAAGATGGATCTGGGAAATCACTTGAAGGTTTGATGAGTTGTTTATGAATTTCTGGAAAAGATGAAGATATGATGAATGTGATGAACTTGCTGGAAAAAAACGGATGAGTTTATGAAGAGATCTGGAAAAAATTGTTATGAACATGAAGAACACGAATGAGTTTTCTGGTGGAATGATGAATTTTCCGGTGATGTTTCCGGTATGAGGGCGGTGGCTTTTGATTTCGCCGGTGAGGCGTTTAGGGTCAGAAAGTGACACATGGCCTGCGAAATCCTGATTAGTGGACTAATTAAAGCTGCAAATTAATTAATTAAAACTGGGATTAAATGAACGCAAACAAGGTTAATTATGAAAGGTCAATGAACTGGCAAATAATTAATAAAGCTGAGAGAATAAAACTAACTAAAGTTAATTAAAATGCTGATTTAATGCTGACAGTTAAAATGCATCGTAAAACCAAATTAACTAAAATGGACTAATTAAAACTAATCAAACAATATCTAATAACCAAATAAACTAATAAGAAAACTATAATATCCCATATTAAATTCTAATCTAAGCTTCTAACCAAGTTAAATCTAGATTAATGAATCCTACAACTAAACCATTCTAAAATAAAACCTAATATTCTAAAAACAAATAACTTCTAGAAAAACTATCTAAAAGCTATTAAAACTCAAAATATCTAAAATAGAGAAAATAACCTAAAAATCTATTTAAAAATCTATTAAGACTAAAAAATCTAAAAATAGAAACTGAAAGATAGAAGCCTATTTAAAATCTAATCTCTACACCAAAATCAACGAAATAAAATCTAGAAAATTGCTAATCTAATCTCTACACCAAAATCAACGAAATAAAATCTAGAAAATTGTTAATCTAATCTCTACACCAAAATCAACAAAATAAAATCTAGAAAATTGCTAATAAATCCAATGAAAAATCAATTAAATCAATTAACAAAAGAATGCGAGAATGTAACGAAATAAACGGTAAAAAACCGGACACCGAAATATCCTCCAAAATAACAGCGTAGACCGAATCACCGGGACGAGCACAAACTCCACAACAAAACCTGCTTATTCGAACTGGTATGAATCGCCTGAGACGCAAGAAAAGGGCTGTAATCCCGATAAAATAAATCCGACTAAAAAAATGCACAGTATGCGGTATGCATATGCAAATGCAAAATGAATCGAAACATAAGCCAAATATAAGAAACGATTGGTCAATTTTTGGGGTACAACAGCTGCCCCTATTCAAATGACTTGGACCTGAAGGATTGAAAAGTGAACGGCTTTCAAGCATTCAAAGGTAAAAAACAGTTTAATACCAAAGAACCTAGAAATTTGTCAACCGCAAAAATAGAACTGCCAACTCCGATTGGGGACAAAGATCTCTGAAAGTAACTGAAGAAATAGTTGAAACGATAATAAGCTGGTTGATTAACAATTTCCAATCATCGACCATATGTCGGAAAGATCATCTGATATCACACAGTAAATAATGAACCTCTGACTTCGTCGTCAGGCCTCAGCACCAATTTGGAAAACTGACCTCGCCACCAGACATCAATTGCACCCAATAAGTAACGAACCCGAAGGTAAAGACATATGACATCACCGCCAGACAACCACAATGTTGATAAACATCTGACATCACCGCCAGACAAACACAAAGTTTATAAACGTCTTATCGAAAGTCACATCGTCTAAGGGTAGACAGGAAGAAACAAATCCAACATTCACATCGTCTAAGGGTAGACAACAAGAAACAACGTCCAAAGTCACATCGTCTAAGGGTAGACGGGAAGAAATATCAACACTCACATCGTCTAAGAGTAGACGGAAAGAAAATATTCATATCCAAAATATCACATCGTCTAAAGGTAGACGGGAAGAAACACCATCCGAATAAACACATCGTCTAAAGGTAGACGGAAAGAAATA